AGTTTAATTCATAAGAACCCTGTAGGACAGAGTAGAATTACCTCCTAGTCTTTCTGAGACTAAAACTTTTTGGAAGCAAACAGACTTATTTTTCCTGGCAGAGGTAGGTTTGGACTGCCAATTACTGTGTTAGCCGTCCAATGCTTAACCCACGGCTCTACTAAAAAGTAACAATTTATGAAAAAAAAATTTAATTCAGTGTCTACTTTGGATTTAAGGAACCCTAGGAGTCCTGGTGTGGTGCTGCAGGATAGTGCGGTTTGTTCTGCAAGGTCAGTTTAAACCACAAGGTCAATGGTTCAAACCCACCAGTGGCAACTCAGAAACCCTAAACAAGTGTTACTATAGGTCAGAACTGACATAGGGCACTTAATGACAATAGGTATGCCAGCAAGGAACCCTATTGGTACCATATGTTTAACATTGGACTGCTAACTGAAAGGTCAGTAGTTTGAAATCAACAACTGCAGTCAGCATCTGTAAAGATTTATAGTCTTAATCCTTAGTGGGTAGTTCTGCTCTGTACTCTAGGGTCACTATGAGTTGGAATGGACCTGATAGTAATGATTTTGGTTTGGTTGCATTATGCCACCTGGGCTCCGTAAATCCTAAATTTACTTGGAATAAAAGAAACTATACATTCTTCATAAATTATTATTTTGTAAATTTAAAGCTGGAAGTCTGATAATGTTTTCTTGTGTATTTAGTTATCAATGATAATATCATTGGTCAATTCAGAATTCAACCTTGACTCCTTTAAAATCTTTTAATAATAGTCAATATTGAGAAAAGTGAACTGAATAATGTTAATTCATTTTTTGTTGTCAAGGGCCATTGTGATTCATAGTGACCCTGTATAGGGTTTCCAAGTAGTGACTGGTGAATTTGACCTGCTGACCTTATGGCTCAAACCAACCATTTAAAAAAAATTACGTCTTAAATACTACACTTTTTTTTTTAAATACTGCACTCTTAAGAAACTATTTAGGTCAGATTACTCTTGTCAGATGAATTTCCCAAACACAATATTATTGTTGTTAGGTGCCATTCAGTTGGTTCCTACTTGGCGACCCTATGCACAACAGAATGAAACACTGTTTAGTCTTGCGCCATCCTCACAGTTGTTAACACTTGAGCCCACTGCTGTTGTCACTATGCCAGTCCATCTTGTTGGGGGTTCTTTCTCTTTTTTTGCTGACCCTCCACTTTATGAAGTATGATGTCCTTTTTCTGTAGGAGATGAAGTCTCATCATCCTGGCTTCTAAGGAGGATTCTGGCTGTACTTCTTCCAACAAATTTGTCCTCTGGCAGTTCAGGATACTTTTAATATTCAGCTCCAACACCATAACCCAAATGTATCAATTCTTCTACTGTTTTCCTTATTCATTGTTCAACCTTTACATGCATATGAGGCTATTGAAAATACTGTGACTTGAGTCAGGTGCGCCTTAGTCCTCAAAAATCACATCTTTGCTCTGGAAAACTTTAACTAGGTCTTGTGCAGCAGATTTGCCTAATGCAATACATCAAATCAAAATAGTTTTATTTCTTGACTACTGCTTCTATGAGTATGAATTGTATTCAAGCAAAATGAAGTGTTTGAGAACTTCAGTATTTTCTCTGTGTATCATGATGTTATTTATTGGTCCAGTGATGAGGAGTTTTGTTTTGTTTTTTACATTGAGGAGGTGCAAGCCATACTTAAGGCTGTAGTCTTTGACCTTAATCAGTTAAGTATTTTAAGTCCTCTTCACTTCAGCAAACAAGATAGAATCAGGTTCATATCACATGTGGTTAATGAGTCTTCCTCCGATCCTGATGCTACGTTCTTCTTCATATAATCCAGTTTTGCAGATTATTTGCTCAGCAAATAATAAGTATGGTGAAAGGATATAACTCTGGAGCACACCTTTACTGATTTTAACCACTCATTATCCCTTTACTCTGGTCTAATGACTGCTTCTTGGTCTATGTACAGGTTCCTCATGTGCACAATTAAGTGTTTCGGAATATCCATTCTTTGCAATGTTATCCATAGCTTGTCATGATCCACAAAGTCAAAAACCTTTGCATAGTCAATAAAGTACCGGTAAACATCTTTCTGATCATCTTTGCTTTTAGCCAAGACATATGACATCAGCAGTGATATCCTTTGTTCCATATCTTTTTCTAAGTCTGGCTTGAATTTCTGGCAGTTTCCTGTCAGTGCATTGTTTTAAAATTATTTTTGACAAAGTTTTACTTGCATGTAATATTTATGCTATTGTTTGAAGATTTCCATATTTCCGTTGGGAATCTTCCATTCCTTTTCAATTTGTCAGTACAGGCAGAATAAACCATATGATTGTCATATTCAAAATGGCCAGTACTAGTCCATTTTAGCTCACTAATGCTTAGGATATCAATCTTTATGCATTCCATTTCATTTTTGACG